CTGAAAGTATACACCCGAAGCTGAACGAGAAGCTAAATTGTGGGATTGGCTGTTGGGAACTGAACAGCTTGACCTAATAATCAATCAAATCGATCTTAACCCGAACCAGATGTTCATCGGAGGACGTGCTTACACAATAATTTAATAAAAGTTATATGTCACTGACTTGATTAGTTATACATAGAATATAAAGTCGGAACATATTTGCGTTAGAACTATACGTCTATTTCAGCCTAATATGTATGTAATTATCACAATCTTGCGACGTGATGTTTGATTCTAATATGAAATAAACATTCATAAAAAAACGACTAGCTATACATGAGTAATGACGATCCTTACGATCAATGGGTTTAATTAATATCTTGTATGTTCGCTGAGCTTTTTTTGAGTTTAGTACAAGTCACTATAACAATAATATGACGTCCGGAATTTTCGCTGGTCATAATCATGATGATCACCCTATATATGGGAATATACTGTGCGACGTTAAAAGTGTTGGAAAAGTGTGTTGGATTTCTTGACTATAATGTAAAAGAGATATCCGTTGTAGCAATATCGCTCACTACAGTTTTGCCGCTACTAACAAAGGGTTGTGTAACTTGGGTATATACAGTATTAAGCTAACAGCTGCTCGCAAATAATGAGAAGACTAGAACTTATTTGCACATTTCCTTTTTATTCTATATTTGAATATCTGAACGTGTCTACTAGCATACCATGCTCACAAACATGCCTCCTAATATGAACATTTCCGGACATTAGTACGGATATTTCCCTGGACATGTTGAAGCCCCTACTAAATTTACATATGGAAATCCTTTTTTTGCCGACCTCATGTCTGGAAGCAGACAGCTAACACCTGTTTCATTAAGTAATAGGGCGTTTTTTTTTGTTTACATTACGAAGAAGATTAAAAAGCGCGGTTTTAAAAAATCTTTAATAAACAAACTAACGTTTGTGTTAATAAAAACAAAAAAACTGCCCCATTAATTTATTGGTAAATGGATCGAGCGTATCTTCAATTTCAGAAGTTGAAACCATAGTATTTAAATTATTAACAGACAAATAATTGGCAATTAAAAGCTTAATATAGAATTAAAATAGCTCTGGTCACTATCTTTGCCAGATTTATTGAAATTAAACGATGTCAAAAAAGTACACATTTGGTCTCGATAAGCCGGCCAGCTGGAGCTGGTCTCTGATGGCCAACTTATCGAGAAGACCGATTTATCGAGAATTTTGTGATAAAGATATTTTAATTAACCCATTTATTATTAAATCAAATAATTACATCCTGTAGACTAGCTTGTCTTAGAGAATTGACTTGCTTTTTTTCTCATCTGATATGCAAATCTTTCGTCTCTGTCAATGCATAACTGTTTCCACATATTGTTCGATTGTAGTAAATAGTTCAATAAATTCCGGATGGCTTCTAATCGTATAATCTAATGACATGTGCAGGCTGGGTTGTTGATTCTAATGCGTATTTAGCGATTTGGTTTAGATCATATGAATAACAACTAATAATAGGAATTTGTATTGGATGTGGCAGATTAAAACGAAACGGGGGACTGAAATTTAGGGACCATTTGAAAATGTAGCACAAAATTTGATCATTCATTCATTCACGTAAAAATACATAATTTATTTAAATTGGAATCTTTATTATTATTATTATTATTATTATTATTATTATACAGTCAGTTTAGACAAGTTTTTGCAATATCATGATAATATATAGGTGTTAAGTGTGAAAAAAGAAATCATAAGTATCATTTGACAATTATAACGTGTATTTTACAGATTCACCGTGTGTCGTTACTTACATACGACAATGAACTAAGAAAAAGTTTGTCAAATAGTCACCGTGTTAAATTGTGCAATAAGGAGGAATATTGTGAATAGAGCGCAATGTGAAATTATTACTGTTGTCCATGCACTTCATCCGGATGGCTCAGCTCATAAGTCGATCAAACTGTATTGCATATGTGACAATTGTTGTATCAAGTAAGAATTTTAGGAATGAATCATGGTCTTACGTCCCTTTATTTATATATTTCAAGAGGCGTCCTTTGCGCGTTTAATCGCGTACACAATCGCGCGGCAATATTTTGGAAACAAATGCAAGAATCGATTACCATGTGATAATCAGGCGACTTCGAATCATACAGTCAGACCTCTCTAAATGCAACCTCTCTTAATGCAACTTTTCTCTAAATGCACAGCAATTGCTTGGTCCCAT